TTTTTTTCTTTTTTTTTTCCTTGGACAATATTGTCAGAGTAACTTGTTACTGTGAGACAAAGTAATATGTTACTGTTATTGTTTACATCAATTTCGACGGTAATATATATATATATATATATATATATATATTTAAAGAATTTCATAGTCAATATAGATCTTATTTAATAGATCTTGATGGGAAAATTTTAAAAATATTAATTTTATTAAAAACTGACATCTACATCAAAAAGTATATTATTTTAAAGTTTAATATTTTGATAATAATGGTATGTGTTAGAATTTTTAAGAATTTTTTTTTCTATTTGTCCTTAATGCATTGAAATTTTATTATGAGAGGGTTTTAACCAAATCCCCTCAATACAACACCCCATTTCTCTCAAAAAGCGAGTATGAACCACAAGATTTTTGTTACTGTTATAATTTTGAAAATATTTATCAATTTGATTCACAGTAATATGAAATGATATGGGTTAATTTTTAATTTGTCACACAATTAATTATATAAGACTCAATTCTCTTATCATCACTATTAAAAAAAATTATAAATTTAAAATTATGAATCTGTGGGGGATTTTATTTAAACCAAAAAAATCATTAAGTATGCCTAACTATAATTTTGAAATTTTAATTCCTATTATACCCTAATGTAAATTTACTAATAAAGACAACACATATTAAATTCTAAAATAAAATATTATTTTTATTATTTTTTACACTCTAATTACATATACATATTCTTCATCTTCTTCCCTAAGTTTCAATTGTTTTTTCTTCTCCTTCTTCTTCTTCTTCTTCCTCACTACAAAACTCCAAATCACCCCACCAAAACTCACCATTATCATTATCATTGTTTCTTATTTTTGCGAATAAAAAAAAATTGAACAAAATCAAATAATGGATGAGAATAATAATAAAAATCGTTTTTTGAAACAACTCATCAAAGAAGAAGTAAATATTTACATAAATATAAAGATACAATTCTTGATTTATATATATATATATATATTTTACGTAACAAAGTCATCAAAACCAGGCTCCATCAATCTTATGCCCTTATCCAAAAAAATAACGCTACTGGATTCATCTAAATACTCTAATATATCTTCAGTCCACCCAGTGGAAAAATCACTGCTGTTATTCCGAGAATAGTAACTTCTAACAAAATTAGAGCTCTTTATTATAGAAGACTGCCTAACTATATGGAAAGCTGATATGAAATCGTTGGGCACATTTGCAAGTGAATCAAAACTGGGGCTTTTCATAATGAGATGGGCAGAGTTGAAAAGATATTTCTAGGGCACAAAAAACCCGAAAGACGAATCATAGTGTGATCTTGTCTCGATTAATTCTATCGAACAAAGTTAACATGTTTGGATTTGAAAGTCCGAATCAAATAATATTGTTAGGCATTGTAAATCCGAATATAGTTACTTTGTTCTTATTTGGATGTATCTTGAAAGGTAATTGAAGAAAATTATAGAGCATACTGAGACTAACATAAAACCCTAAATAATTGAACGTGTGCTGAGAAATTGAGAGTACTTCATATTTTTTTTTTGGAAGGGGGGGGTATAAATAGAAACCCCTAACAGAATGACATACTTTTTTGTCCTTGAAACCTAGTGCGACCCAAACTTGTTAGGATTTTATCCAAACAAGGCCCAAATCCTAAATGGGTCGGCCCAAGTGAGACTAGGCTTGAAATTGGGCCTTGAATTTGAAACTCAATCGGGCCCAAGCTCGTTGACCTTTTACCTAAACCAAGCCCAAATCTTGGACATGTTGGCTGAAGTGAGACTGGGCCTAGAATTGGGCCTTAAAATTGAAACTCAATCCAGCCCAAGCTCATTGGGCTTTTACCTAAACAAAACCCAAAACTTGGACTGGCAGCCCAAATGAGATTGGGCCTTGAATTTGAAACCCAACCTGGCCCGAGCTCATTAGAATTTTACTCAAACAAAGGCCAAATCTTGGACAAGCCAACCCAAGTTATATAGGGCCTAGAATTGGCCTTGAACTTGAAACGCAACTTGGCCCAAGCTCAGAGGGCTTTTCCTGAAACAAAGCCCAAATCCTAGACATGCTAGCACAAGTGAGATTGGGCCTTTAATTTGAAACCCAACCCAGCCTAGCCCATGAAAAATTATAAATAAATAAATAAATAAGTGAAGAAAAATTATTTTAAAAGACTCAAATCTTAGGCTAAGCTTGGAGGCCAGGCCACAAGCCCATAGAGATGGCCTATTAGCCCACTCATCAGTCCACCATGTGAGCTCACTTAGTCTCAAGGTTTCGGCCCACAGCCCAATGAAAGAGGCTTCACAGATTTTCAACTTTCTACACCAAACAAGCCCATTATCATGCTGGGGAAGAATGGTCCATAAAATAATTGTGCTGATCTCTCTCATGAGCAAAAATGAACATCTTTCAGGTTCTAGGTTTGCCTCACTAACAATTTGAAACATGATAAGTTACTTGAAAGAAGAAAACAAATAAACCAGTTTGATTTACTTCTAAATTTTAAATTTCTTATCAAAATCTTAGAGCACACAATATTTTATCTTTTACTTTCACTAACATCAATTCATGTGGCAAACTGGTCGATGCCGATCCTATTTTGCTGCTTTGTAGTCGTCCTAAAAATTGAGACCTACATAAAAACATATGAATAAAACAAATAAGTTTCGTATAAGTAAAAAATTAAACACACAATTAGGTTTGATTTGCAGCATGCTTGTCTCGTTTCGTGTAATCAGCAAAAAAAAAAGGATAAATGTAGACCAACATAGCAGGTGTTTGGAAAGTTGCTATTTTAGTAGGCTATTTTAGTTTTTAACTATTTTAGTAGGTTAAAATTTTTGTATTTGGAAAGATGAATGGATCTTATTATAGTTGAATGTAATATTTGTGAGAAAAAAAGTGAAATTATTATGAATGTGATGTGACATTTTGTCTTATTAACTATTTTAACATATTGTCTATTTATAGATTTTAGCCTAAACGAGGTTAAAATTTTTCTTGCCAAACACCTCCATAATATAACATGATATGGACACGAAAAGGCAAAAAAAGGAAGAACCAAACAGGACAAACTACAAATTGTTACATGTCACCATTACAATTATGACTGATACGAAATGCACAGTTCAAATACGAAATGCAAATCTCTTCCAGTCAGTTTATGATATGCTCTTATATAAAATATTTGTTCAATTATAAAACAAGAAATCATTATATATAGTAAATGTTAACGACCACTTCACACCTAATTAATACACAACATATTGGTTTACTCTCAATGAGATGATTCTCCATTAAATATCATCTGCAGGGATTGACCGAACTCACTGTGATCTTAAAATCTGATCTAAATATATCAATTAAAGAAGAAAATTCATATGCAACAATAAAGGCTTTGAAATATTACTCGAAACAGATTATACTACCTTGGGCCACTCCATAGAGCTTCCAAAATAACATATTCCAAAAGACAAGGAAGTGTAGGCTGCTGCAATCTATATAGCTTTCAGTTTAGGTGAAGTCCTGCGAAGCTAAATAGGAAACAAACAAATATTAAGTCGTTTTTTTTACTTAAAACAACCATTAAGATTGAGGGTTGGGAGTGGGGGCTCTCACTGTTATAGGAGCCTCAGTTTGAACAACCAGAGTTCCAGCACTTTTATCAGCACCGTGTTGGCTACTATCTTGCATAACAGAGCGCAAAACTTTCATGCAAGCAGAGCCGAGACCTGCCCGCAACCTGTGCAACAAAAATAATAACCATGTTAGATTCACAAGCTGGGGGTATACATAAATGGAAACAAAGAATATGATTTTTGTAGGTTTAACACACAATAAATAATGAAAACTAAATACATAGAAGAAAGCACTATACTAAACAACAATCAGAAAAACATGAAGACCTTTACAAAAATATTCCACTATTAAACTAGCCACATACCAAGAAAATATAAAGTTCCTTGTAGTAAAAGATAAATTAAAATTGTACATTTCTAAGATACAATTTTCTTTTTTTATTTTTATTTTTATTTTTTATTCTGTTAGTTATACTTCCCAAAATAAAATAAAATAACATTTTTGAACAACGGGGATACATAAAATGATGATGAGACACAGCTCCCCCGAGCAGCAAATCCTTTCATTAAATACTCTCCAACACCACTAACACAACAACCAACTATAAATGGAGCCCCAAATGGACCTTTTGAGGATGCCCAACAACCGGAGTCATACATTGCTGCTAATCTCACACATCCAGTTATCTGTTAAAAATATTTGAAGAATAAATTTCAAGTTTAACTGAATAATGACCCATTTTAGAAATGATGTCATGCAAATTTCAACTTTTACATGTGAATTGTGATCAACAGAGGCATCGAATCTAAAAAAAAGACAAGCCAGAAAAGCCATGAAAATGAAAATGATGCCAAATAGGCCCTTAGCAACACCCAATAACCACTTCAAGGTTTCATTCACTACCAAGAAAAGCATTTCTTTTGCATGGTTGTTGGGAACTTGGGAGGACAAAATATCATAGAGGAACTAATTTTTTATTTTTATTTTTTAAATCAAAGCCTCTGAATCCCCCTTCTCTCTCTCTTTCACACAACTTCATACACCAAAGCCCCCACCAAACCGTCAATGGCCACCAGTCAACTCCTCCCACGGACACCAATTCGACCACCATTGCCATCTTGGGTTAATTAAATAAGAACTCTTGAAAAATAATGATACAATTTAAGGAATGGAGACAAATAACATAGAAACTCTTTGCATATATAACAAGAAAATGCCACAAAAACAAAGCAGATAATCACCTTCAGTGCAATGCCACCACTCAAAGCTCTAGATGCTATATGTCCTTCAGTGTCAACAGAAATTAGCCCAAGAATGTCCATAATGCAGTCATCTTCTGGCACATTCAACATACATAATTGATCATGATCTCCATTTTGTTCAAATGATCACATGGTAGAACTTCTATTTGTGAAACACATGCAAAAACATTCATAAATTAAAAATAAACTTCAATAAAACAACCAATAAATAGAGAGAGAGAGAGAGAGAGAGAGAAGAAAGTAATTGAGATACTTATCATTGTAACATATTTAGTTGTGAAAAATCAATTGACATATTTAGCATGAACATCCTTTTCTCTCAAAACATATTTTCATGAAACAAGTAATTGACATATTCAGCAATGATAAAATTACACTTTACCCCCCTCAACTATTGTCGCGTATCACTTTACCCCCTGAACTAAATATTGGAACACTTAACCCCCTCATTTACTAATTTTTTTTCAATCTAAACCTTTATGATGAAAATACCCTTTTATCTATGGGATAAATTACACTTTACCCTATTGAACTAGTGTCACTTAATATCACTTTACCCTTTAACTAAAAAATGCTACATTTGCCACACTGATTTACAAATTGGTATCAATGTAAACAATTTGTTTCTTTTTTTTTTCTTTTTTTTTCTTTTTTTTTTTTTTTTTTTTCATCAGAAGAGGAATTTCCATTGAAGTAGCCAAACGGCACATACAAAGAGGAATCCATCCAAAATAAACTTACACCAGCAAAAGAAAGATGAAAACAAACAATACATAGGAGTAAATCTATGAAGAAAACCCAGCTGCACAACATGTGCTTGTGCTCGTACTACAAGCAGAGGCCAACAAACGGCCGTAAGCATGCCGAGGATAGATCATAGGTTACAACCACAAAGTGGGTAAGCTACATCAAGCACTAATGGACTCTAGAGTCAAACCAAACCAAAATACAATCAAAAAACAAAAAAGAAGACCAGAAAACTCAACCTCGAATCAGATCTGTAGCATATCTGGAGCAGATCCACACCATCGGGTTGGAGGAGGAGAACCTAGCACACTTCAACCATGGGGGGGAAGAAAATCGCCTCAAGAAAGAGGGAGAGTTTGGGAAGAAAAGCTCCCAAACTTATTTGACAGAAACCTGAAAGAGAAAAGGCGGGGAGGGAGAGGAGAGAGGTGGCCGAAGGCCGAAATCCCCACCCCCTCCCCCTCCCCAAGCAGCGCGCTCTGAGGAACCCTAAGAGAAGGAATAGAGAGAGAAGCTCTCAGTTAGAGAGAGAGAGAGTTAAACAATTTGTTTCTTAGATAAATGAAAATTTGACATGTGATTTGCACATGACATCTCAAATCAAATGCCTAAAATGACATCATTAATTTGTTTGGTTTAGTATTAAAAATTATTTTTGAGCTTTTATTTTTCATATTTTTTTTGGTCTTAAGTGAAACTTCTCAAATTTTGGTCTCTCTTTTTTCTTTTTCTTTTTTACTTTTTAAGTACATCTAATCTAGAAGCATCTAAAAAAAGTTCATTGAAGATGAAAATACATTTACATATCAGTTTTTTGTTTTTCATTTTTTATTTTTCATCTTTAGTAAACTTCCTTTAGATTTCCTTACAAATATTTAACTTTTTAGGTGCATTAATATTATTTTTTTTTTAATACTAAATATGAACAAAAAACAAAAAAAAACTCAAACTGTAATTGAGTTTAAAAACCAAACAAAGTATAAAAAATTTTAGTTAAGGGAGGTAGAGTGATATTGAGTGATAATTGAAGGGGGTAAAATGTAATTTATCCCTATAGTTGAAAGGGTATTTTCGTACTTGATGTCCAAATTGAAAAGAGAAAAAAAAGAAAAAAAAAAAAGAAAAAAGATAAGTGGGGTTAAGTTAAGCATTACAATTTTAGTTTAAGGGGATAAAGTCGTGTGACAAGAGTTGTTTTTTTTTTTCTTTTTATTTTTTTTAAGTTGCAAAACCCACCACACATAAGCATCCCGTGCATTTATGCTCGACTAATTTTCAAAATTTATTTAAAAGTTGAAACCAACCTGTAATTATATTTATGGTACACCACTTAATTATTGCCAGCTTTGGGAGGAACAGGAATGTTCTGTTTAAAATCTAAATGGCATGGAGTACCTGATACAGCAGCATCCTCTTGAGTGCTAGAAGAAAGCTCTCCATCAATTTCTACCGTGCCTTTTGGATCATCAAGCGTTGATTTGTATTTTTCCCACTGTGTTTTTGCCCTCTCTGTAACCAGCCACTATTTCTAAAAGATGCACAACAAATATGATAACTAAGTCCAGAATAAAGAACAGATTACTAAAGAAATTTAAAACCAACATATTCAAGAAAAAATATTGATATACAGGAAAATGGAAATTTAGACAGATACGACAGAAAACTAGGAGAGTTTACTTCATCAGCCTTCGGTATACTTGCCGGCAAAGGAATATGCTTGGATTTTGCCCACATACATGCACCTTTACCAACCAAGAAGCTAGGAAACCAAGGTTTTAAAAAGCAACCGCAACCGTTACGTAACGGTTGTGGTGGTTACCGGCACCCATTACGGCCGCTTTTGCGGTGTGATTGAAATTCACAGGTGTGCCGGTCGTAGCGGCTGCCGTAGCAATCGTAACAGTGCCGTAACGACCTGTTACGCACCGCTACGTAACAGTTCCGAACTACTTCTTTCAAAAAAACAAAAAAAGAGAGTTGAAAATGGGAAAAGAGGGATAAAGAGAGAAAAGGGAAGATGGAGGAGTAAGAGATAGAGAGAGAGAAGAGGGAGGATAAGAACATGTTATTGATTTGTTAAAGTTGTAAAACCTATGCTATTCTATTCAACTGTTATCACTCAGCCATTTTGTTTGTGTGTATCTATCTATATATTGTTTGAATCTATTTGGCTCTTATTGTTTGAATATATATATCTATATATTTAGACTCTTATTTATTCTCATACTTTTGTGATTATTTATCTGATATATAATAGTTAATGATTGATTTTTTTGTAAAATATCTAGAAAACATAACACCTATAATTATATATTAATACATATTTTATACATGTCAATTTTTTTCGATTAGTTTATTTTATTTTTATTTACAGGTTATCCAAAAAGAAAATGAATATTCAAGTGATCCAAATCCCAAAAAAAGAAAATTTCTTTATAATTTAATTTTTTATTTTTATATGATTACATTAGCATGTATAATTTATTTTTTAAAACTATTCAAGTTAAAATTTGCATATACTTCCACAAGTATAATAATTAAAAAAATAATTTTATACATCGAAATCCAATTTTTTTTTTTTATTTTTTTTGCCATAAGTGTAATATGGATTTATAACATATAAAGTCATTAATTATTAAAATAAAATGTAAAAAACTCAGTTCATAGTGATTTAAAAATATGAAATATATTAAATCATACTAAAAAATTTACAAAAATTGATTAATATGTATTTTAAAATCCAATAAATATGATTATGGAAAAAAATATGCGTACCAATAAGTTTTTTTTCAAATTGTACAAAAAATAAAAAAATTCATAGTTCTTACTGCAACTGTTGTATTCTTTACACTCGACAACTGCAACCGCACCATCGCCACCGTTATGGCGACCGTAATCGCTTTTTAAAACCTTAGGTCTAATCCTCCATATGACTGAGATCTCTGAATACTAGCGTTGGCCATTCTTGCTAATTGACCTACAAGTAAACCTTTGAGGATTCACTCGTGGGTGTCTTTCTCTTAGTCCAGACCAAATCACTGTAACTAATTTCACCCATTACCCTTTATGGTTTCACTTGATTTGAGTTTTACAAGCACTAAACATGTGTAGAAGGCAGATTCATATTCACTATTCACACATAGTATGCATTACGTAACATCCCTAACAAAATAATGTTGCACTACTCATAATTCCCAATGAAAAATCCCCAAGAAATAAATAATAAGTACTGTGATAATGCTGCCATAAAGAGTTAATTTGTATATCAAAATTCAAAGATAAACACAGATGTATTCATACATGGGAGGTATTCGACCCAGCAGTGCTGACCCCAACATTTGTTCCTTGGCCAACAAAGCAGCAACTTGGATACCATTTCAGACACCTGCTAATTATTAACTACACAAAAATGAAGAGCATATAATGAAAATGAAAGCTCCATAACATTATCAAAGCCGAAGAACAGAAGAAATTGAAGCTCACAACATAAAAACTTATTTACTTGTTTAGAGTATGGTTTCCATTAATTATACTTCAGGAAGACCTGGCACCGCTCCAACAGCCCCAAATGCCCCCAGAATCACCATCCATAATACTGCCATCACATTCCACATGACCATCTTCAGTCAAATTAGAGCAGAATACTGACGCCTAGCATTTGTGCTTGGATCACCCTTTAAAGAAACAAACTAGATCAATAATGAAATTCACAATAGCTAGACAGAATTAAGAAGAGAAACACTACAGAAAATCTCCATTGCATGAAATGGCTCTTTCCACATCAAACAGATAGGAGGAAATTAATGATCTAGAGCCATATCTAACCCACCCAACAATTCCACATCAAACAGATAGGAGGAATGTTCTAGAGCCATATCTAACCCACCCAACAACCCTACAACATCAAAGCCCAACCATCCCCCTAGGGCAATGTATTGGTCCCCTTAAGTTTGAACCAATCCAATGAGCCCAGGCAGCTCATGGATCATTAGCTTATGTTCATCCAAACAAATTATTGCACAGCTAAAATGTCCTTGAACTATCCTATAGTTTCAAATGTGTAATTCCATCTACTAGATACAAGACCAAAATTTTCACAAATTACTAAAGAAAAGAACAATCCATGAGTTTCAGTTAACTTTTGACATGACTTTAGAGTCCACATTGTAAAATTTCTTACTCTTTTTTTTCCACGTAATCCAAGTTGCATGTAAGCATCTTATACAAAAGAAAATAAAAAATTCTTTGTACCACCCACTACTATTACTTTTCAGCTTTGTAGCTTGAAAACAGATTAGTTTTCCAATCAAGTGACATGCAAAAGATTGGATTGGTTGCATTGTTTCACAAGTAGAGCATTTAAAACTCCCATCCACAAACTGAACCCACTCTCCCCACCAAAAATGTATCAAGTATTTTGGGCCTCTGTGCATCTCATCAAATAAGAAGTGTCTCAGTTATAGGCTGCTTCCAAAATCAAATCTTATTTCTAGTATGTCATCTTGATCAACTGTTATCTGCCAATCAAAGTGGCATTATGATGAGCCTTCGTTATGCAATCTTCATGTGAGCTCTAGGGGCCATTCTATTTTAATATCAACTCCACACAACTACTTGTTGACTGCACTAAGTCACCAATATAGTAGCAATAAAAGATTCTAACAGGAACAGCAGCATTAATAAAGCAGCAATCTTGATTCATGCTAAGCTCAGGATGACTTGGGTAAAAAATTTTGTCTAGCAGACAAGATAATGCGAAAATAAATAATCACTATAAGACAACTTTGAAGTCTAAATACAATAGTTTGAAAAGGAAGAGGAAGAAAAGAACCTTAGAGGCATATAATTCCAACAGAGATTCAGAAACAAGCCCTAAAGCAACATATCATCCTCTATTGATTTGGACTTAGACAAAAGATAGTGGAAAACAAATAGCCAAGACAGGAAAACCAAGTTAATTTTTGTTCTAAGTTGTGCTTTCCTTTTACTATTTTCTAAGGGTGGATTGTTCTTGAAGTAAAAAAACAGTAAGGATCATTGATGTGCAGATGAACCATTGCCAAGCACAATGTAGTTATGAGGCATAGCTTGGGGTTGTTACTAATGAAGAGAAACTAATTTATTTTTTTCAAATTAAAAGTCGCTTTGAAAATAAATAGAGTAGCTTTTGTTTTTCGAAGTCTCTTAAGTTTAAAGGCTCATTAAGATCCATAACTTTTTCTAGCTTCAAAATATAAGTGAATTTAAATATTTTCTTTTAGTGAACCTGTGCCTGCATGGTAAAGCAAATCTAGCAATATGGAAATTGCTGAGCAGCATCCAAGAAAATCCTCTTAACACTCATTCTAATATATATTGTTATATTAAAGCAACATCCCATTCGGTAAAGCCTACTTCCAAAGACATGTTATATTTTTTTATTTCCAAAAAAGTACAAAGGAAATTGATTAATTCATTTGTGTAAGAATTTTTCTTTCCAAATGAGTTGAGGATAAAAATATAAATCAATGAAGACAGTTGCAATAATTCATTAAAAAATAAATTTCAAAAATCACACAATGAGATAAGTTCATGCCCATAGTGCATGACATCATTCTAGTTCATTTAAAATGAAAAGTTCTATTTTCCACCACTAACGATTATTTGCATGCTCCAAATTTCTATCGATTCAACAATGTAACTTATTCAAGACAATCAACGTCCAACACAAAGTAAACCTTTAATGCCTTAATAAAGTGCAAAATTGATAAAATTCAAGATTAACAAAATTGATAGAAGTGAAGGCAAGCCGCATTACAAGTGACAGAAATATCAGTGGGTTTCACCAGGTTACCAAGAAAATGGTTTTCTATGTTGTAATTCAAGATATACCCTAAATCATCATTTAGCCAGTTTGACCATGAATCTAGGCCTACTGCCAAACCATGTTGTTGAGCTATTGTTTCTCTTAGTCTTCTCCATTATCCTTGGATTCCAACACATGATCTTTAATTTTCCACACTCAAGATTATTAATGTTCAAAAGAATTTTCATGTCCAACAATGGTCACCACCATCCTCATCCAAGCCTGCATTGTCTCATGTTTTCCAAAGCATAGATCAAATTAAACCATCCCACCATAATATCCAAAACAAATTTTCAGTCATATTCAGTGTTCATGCTCCAGAATAACAAGGGCTCTACTTCTATGATACATCTAGAAAGCGCAGAAAATGGCATACAACTTGAGAGTAACGGAAAAAAAAATGATGGTAATCCCTATTAATAAACTTTAAAAGGGCCATCCAAACATGACGACTCTCTCTCTCTCTCTCTCTATATATATATATATATAATGCTGACACACTTCTGAAAGCAGGCCCTCCATCAATATGCAAATATCTAGCAGAATAAAATGGAATGATCAATCTATATAATCTGTATGAAATGACCATTCACACTTACAATGGTGAATAATGATTCTATTTATAATGCATTTTTCCTCATTTTTAGCAAACCAAATGTGAGAATGGACATTGTGATGAAATGATCATATTCTATTCCAGTAAACCAAACACTACCTTTTCAACTGAAAATAGTTAGAAAATGTTTAGAATTCAAACAAAACGACATAATACATAGATTCAAACGGAGGTAAAGAGAGGAGATCCCAAGGAAATACCTTGCAAAGAACAGAAGCAGTAGTGAGGCAAGCACGTTTCATGGCGGACCCGAGAGCTTTCTCGTTCGACGTGAACTGCCACGAAGAACCTAGGGTTTCGATCAGGGACATCCTCTCCTCCTCCTCCGCCATGGAATTTTGGTGAGGAGCATTTTTAAAGAGGCGTGAAAGGCTGAATTCTGATTTAAATACCACCAGGCACTGAAGGTTGTGAAAGAGAGCGTTTTAGTAGTGTGTTGTTAGCAAAAAGAAAACATATCACTACTGCCAAAACGGTTGTGGGACCCGCCACAAGCATTACCCAAATTCTTCATTTTATAAGATTTTTTTTTTCTCCACAACATTCATAAATAAAAAAAAAATTTAATTAATCCGATAATTTAGTAGTGTGATGTTAGCAAAAAGAAAAAGGACGCTTACGCGGAAGTTAGTGGACTTATTATTACAAGTTTTATCGGAAAAATTTATAATAAAAAATTTACTAATTATAAGTTTTAGCGATAATTTATAAAAATTATTACAAAAAAAAATCAGTAACTGTCAATTTTTAACGATATATATAAAAAATTGTCATAAAAAAATTATTTTTAGTAACAATTTTATCAATGCTTATTTTCAATAACACTGGATGGGAATTAAATACCTATGGATAATTTATCCAAAAGAAACATATTACTGTTGTGGGACCCACCACAGGCCGATTATCCAAACTTTTCATTTTACTTTTACAATTTCTTTGTGTATATTCATTAATAAAAAAAAATTAAATTAATTCGATAATTATAACATGTTCAATATATAACACATTTGTCTTAAAAATCAATAGATGATTTATATTTAAAATTACAACTACCATTTATTTTTTTTAATCATAAATGCAATAAATTATGATGGACTTCATTGGACAAACAACACTCTCTAATCTAAATCTTATACCAAATAAAAACCCAACAACTCAAAATAAGTACAAACAACCGCCCAAATCCACCCGAGTTGCACCCCTATAATTTTGTCCATGCCTAGTGTTGTGCTTACTAATATTGTGAGAGGAGGTGATTCATGCAATCAATATATTTTATTTATTTTTATTTATTTATTTGTGTCTTTTCAATTGAAAAAATCGATTACTTTTATTTTGTATAAAATGCAATCAATGCAGGTTTGGTGGCTTAATCCGAGATGAGAAGGGTATTTGGCTGTGGATTTTTCGACAAGCAAGATCTAAGAAACAAATGTCACTAATTGTCAATTTTCAGCAACAGTTTGAAAATTTTGTCACAAAAATACCATTAATTATAAGTTTTAGCAACAGTTTTAAAAAATCGTCACAAAAAAAGGTCACTAATTTTTAACTTTTAGGGACAGTTTGAAAAATTTATCAAAGAAAAATGTCACTAATTGTAAGTTTCAAGGACAATTTAAAAAACCGTGACAAAAAAATCACTTCACATTGCATTGAGGGGTTATCACAATAATCAATGTAGTACCTTTCGAAGTTCCTGCATGAACTTCAGCATATACAGAGTAACAACCTGAAATTGGAATAGCAAATGCAAATATTAAATAAAAGGGAATTTCACCAAAGCCACTAAAATCTCTGTATTGATCCAAGACAGCCTAAACAAATCAGATAAATATGGCAAGTTCCATATGATCATAACCACTTGGGTCTTGCTAAATTGGAAACTTAACCATCTTTAGAAGATCCAAAAAGACAGGGATGCGAGCATTTTATTAGTTTTTGGCATAAAATTAGGTATCAAAACCATGAACTTATATAATCTTATGACGATTGACAAGCCTGATCACTATTAATAAGTCGTCAGCTACATGGATCTATGTTTCCAATAAATAAGCTTCCACATTAAAGCTAGTCAAAAAGAAACCAATAGGTACTTTCTTTTCTTTTCTTTTCTTTTTTCATAAACAGGGAATAGGGGTAGGGGTAACTGCATCTAATCTGTTTGAAATGACCATT